GAAATTCCTACTGGGTGGGCAGGGTGGGGGAGGTGCTGTGGAGTGGTGGGGAGGCATCCCAAGGGGGTGAAAGAGGGTCTCACCCACTCTGCGCCTGGGCTGGGACGGCAGGTCCCGCTGGCGCAAGGTAGCCGGAAGCTCTCCCACACACTCACTGGGCCTGGGCTAGGACTGGATCTCACTGCCGAGCACTGACTGTCTTGTTTCTTCATGGTATTCCATCCTATGTTGTGGGCTGTATTATTTTCATTTTTATTTCTTCTCCTTATTCTGCAGAACATGTTCTGTTCCCCCTACTCTTCTGTGTTTTTTTTTTTTTCTATCTTTAATAAATGTGAGACTCTCCCACCATTTGTGTTTATTTTATTCAATTTTTTTTTTGGGGGGGGAGAAGAAAGAACCTAGAAATCACCTGTTAGAGACTTCAGCACCCCCAAATCCAGTAACATCCACTCATATAAGGTGTGGTAAAAATATGGTAAATATTTACTTTCTAATTTTAGAGAAAAAGGTCAATAAAAATAATACAGAATTTCAAAACAAGATGATAGCAAATTAACAACGGTAATTCTACCTTGTATTGCTATCTTCAAAGCAGTTGCTCAGATTACCAGCTATAGGCATGCAAAACTGAACAAACAATATAAGCCCTAACTGTTCCTTTCATTGCACTAATAGAAATTAGCGGTGCAATTATCTTAGCTACCTTGTGTATATGTATTTTTCCCCTTCCTTCTTTTCTCCTTTCCCCCATCCCAGTTGTTCTTTTCTTTGAGCTGATTCATTTTTTAAAAAGTGTGCTGCCTTACTTTTATGCCTTGCCATGAACTGCCCTCCAGTCCCCTCGCTGGCCTCGAGCACGCCTTCCGCCTCACCTCCTCGCGCCCGGAATCAGTTCTGAAGTCCGCTCGGTCGTCCTTCGTGGCACTACCCTCGCTACCACCGTGTTTGGAATTGGCCCAGAATTTTTACCTGTCAGGGTCATTTTGACTGCACAGAAGAGCCAGAAGTCGCCTTCCGCGAGGTCTGGTGGTCGCCTTCCACAAGGTCTGGTGCAGAGGGTGGCCTGGCAGCGCCGATACGTTCCTAAGAGCCCGCGTCTCCGTCGGACAGCCCTCAGCAGCCGCATTCACCGGAACTGTTCGTCGTGTCTCGCGAAAACACAGGAAGCCGTCCAGAACCGCTTCCGAAAGTGGCAAGAACGATGGGATAAACGCGTCTGAAGGGAGGGGGACTACTCTGAGGGGATTTAATGACCATGTGTCTTTGCTTAATATCTTTTAAAAACTTAAATATTAACTATATGTTTCGATCATACTGTGTGTGTATAATGCATGCACGTTCACACTTCACACACACACTGCTTTCATGAGGGATGCGATGTCACCTCGAATGTTAGAGGGCCTGGAGCGCTGTAGTCCAGAACCCTTTAATATTTGCTGAATTAGAGCAAAATTATGCTGGGCCCATCCTGGTTTATTTTTTATCATTGATCATTGCTCTTAGGAGTTAATGTTTGAACCTGGTCATAAAGGAATGATAGCCACTGACCTATGGCCCCATTTATAGAGAGGAAGAAGCCCCTATAAAACTGCCACCAGTGGGCAGCCTGGCCAGCCACGCTGTGGGCCAGCTGCAAAGAGGGAACCTTTTGCCACCATGAGCTTCTCGGGCAAGTACCAGGTGCAGAGCCAGGAAAATTTCGAGCCCTTCATGAAGGCAATTGGTGAGTGCACACGGGCCCCCGAGGCCACTGGTCGCTGCAGTGAAGAGCTGGCCTTCCGTGAGGTGGGAGTTAGTGTTGGATGGAATGGGAGGTGAGGTTCAAGTGATGACAAATCAGAGGTGACTTTGGTGATCTCTTGCCACTTGTGCCATTACTCACTGGACAAGGCCACCAAGAGGCAAGGGGAAAGAACACTCATCCAGGCGGGGTCTGGAGTAAAGCCCATGCCCACCGGCACTTGTTTGGGAGACCCTGTTCACCCAGTACAATGCATTCACCTATTCAGGCATGCATCTCTGATTAAAGAGCAGCCTCATGTCAAGCACTGTGCTGGATACATAGCAGGGAGACACAGAATGAAGAGCCATAGGTCACAGGTTAGAGAGAGTGAAGAGAAGAACTAGATGTAGCAAGTTATCCTCTACCATGTGCAGGGGTGGCTCTGTACCAGGCACGGGGCGAAGCGCTTGCTATGCAATGCTCCATTAAATCCTCACCAAAAGCTCTGAGTTGGGTACAATTATTTTCTTGATTTACAACTGAGGTGGAGAAAGGTAAATTGGTGTGACCAAAGTCACATAAATCAGTCAAGATTGGAAACAGGTGCTGCCTCTACAGAGCAGGGGTACAGAGGGAGGGAAGGGGGTAGTGAGGAATGGAAGGCTGGAAAGAGGAGCAGGTGCCCCCTAGGGGCCCGGGAAGGGGAGCATGTTCCAGGCAGAGGGAGCCCCGTGAGCAGAGGGTGCAGTGTGGCCAGGGAGCTGTGGGGAGGGAGAAGAGCAAGGAAACAGCAAGGGCAGGGCAGGACCTTCTGCTTTCAGGACTTAGGGTCTGCTTTCACCCAACAGTTACCCCATTTGTATGTCCGGAGTCCCTTATCTGCACAACAGGACCTGCCACTCATGCTATCAAGACATCTCTTGAGCCTCCATTCCTATAAGAGCCCGAGGTAACCTGGTACAGGCCCACTTTGTACATGATGTGTTGGCCTAACTATTACTAGCTCCTCCGGTGTGAGTGGCCCCATTTGGGAGAACTTTCTGGTCCCAGTGGAGAACAAAATGCTCCCTTTCCCACAGCAGAGCTACCAGAGTAGAGGAGCACTGGAGTGTGAAACAGCAAGCCCCAGGGAGGCAAGCTCAAGGTCACAGCAGCCAGGCCAGGCCAGGTTGCCCTTCTCCCCTCTCCGAGGTTGCAGCCCTTGCTGCTCCCAGGTCCTGAGGCTGTGGCCTCCACCTGCCCACGTCACAGCTTCTTTTGGTCCACCTGGGTCTTGTGATCCCCCCTACTGTCTCTAAACCTCTTGTGGCTTCCACCAGGGCTACCTGAGGACCTGATCCAGAAGGGGAAGGACCTCAAGGGGGTGTCAGAAATCGTGCAGAACGGAAATCACTTCAAGCTCACCATCACTACTGGGTCCAAGGTGATGACAAATGAGTTCACCTTGGGAGAGGAGTGTGAAATAGAGACCATGACGGGGGAGAAGGTCAAGGTAGGAGGCACTCCCTTGCCATCCCTGCTTCAGGAACCTCCCCTGGAGCACGGCCCAGGGCTTCCAGCCTCAAGGCTCCCATGCCTCCCAACTCCCACCCTAGTGCCCCATGTCTAAGTCTACCTTCAGTGGAAGAAGCAGAGATCGTGTGGGAAAGCTGGCCTTGTTTCCCCAGGGTTTGGCAGTGGGTGCTGGCCCCTAAAACTTTGTCTCCTACTTAGAGCACTTGGAGGAAGCTGGGCACAGAGCAGGGCTCCAAGGCTCAGGCTTTCAGCCTGGCTCCTGACTCTCAAAGAAAGTCTCCTGAAAAGGGTCTGGCCATGGGCTTGGGAGGGTCAGTGAGAGCTTCTAACACAAGCAAAATCATGGTGGCCTTAGCTGAGCCCAGAGCAGTTGGGAACAGGAGAGAACTCCTGGGAGAGGCGCTGGCAATGCCAGAAGCCCGAGGCCCAGGCAGGCACAGAATGAGCCTTGGGACATGCACACAGCTCAGGGTCTTGCGAAAGGGAGGCCAGCCTGAAGGCAGTGGGGGGGGGCAGCTCCACTCCACAGGCCTGGGGCCACAGAGACAGTGCCAGCCAGGACCCGCCCTCTGCTGCTCCCAAGAAACACTGCACCCCCAGTGCCCCCAGCGCCACAGAGCAGCCGGAGCAGCCGTCCTCCTAGATGGCTGTGTGCTGGGCTCAGCGTGCTCTCTCTCCACCTCTTCCCATTGCTCCTCATCTCTGCTCTGCAGATAGAGCACTGGAGACTGGGGCAAGCTGCAGGCCTTCCTGGGCTATGCCGTGGGGAGGAGTAGCCACCATGAGTTCTGCCACGGGCAGTCTCCAAGTGTCCACAGAGGGAGTTTCCAACCCAGACAGTGTCCTCTGGGCCTGGTTGGTGTCTGTGATTGCTCCTCCTGGGGACTCAGGCTTGGAGGGGAGACCACACATCAGGAGGATGGGTATTCTGGGAGGACCCGTGCAGACCCCAGCAATGTGTGTGAGGCCGCAGCCCACCATTGGCTTGCAGAATGCAGATGTCCCTGTATATTCCAGCATCTGTCCTGGGCACCGCTCAGGCATTGGTGCTCTTTCCTGAATCACAGAGCACAACTGAAGTCTGACAGATCAGACTGGCGTCTCCCTTCTGTCTTCCATGTCTCTCTCTGTTGGCACTGAGGTCGGGAGCACAGGGGCCAGAGCGCTTTGGTTGCCCTAACTGACACCTGCACAGGGAACCAGCTCACTAGCGAGGGTCGTGCTCTCCACGGCTTGTTCCCCACAGGCCTCTCTCTGTCCCTGCAGGCAGTAGTTAACCTGGAAGGCAACAACAAGCTGGTGACAACATTTAAAAACATCAAGTCTGTGACTGAACTCAATGGGGACACCCTGACCAGCGTAAGTTAGCGCCCTGTGCCTGTGACTCTGGGTGCTGGGGGGTGAGGAGCAGCTGTACTCCTTACCCCCAGGCCTAGCTTTATCCTCTGAGCCCCAAATTCTGACCTTTCTATGTCCTCTCCCACTTGGCTGAGGGTCCTTACGCAGCAGGCAGTTCCCACAGCATCTCTAAGCTTCCCAGCAGCAGTTCACTAAAGGGGAAACTGAGGCAACAAGTAGCCACAGAATGGCACAGCCAGCTTCCTCTGATTGGGTCACTCTCTTGGGGATGCCGCCCACAGCTATCCTGTGGGGGGCGACTCGGCCTCACACCACAGACTGTGCGTCAGTGTGCTTAGCTGAGGCCTCAAAATTCAGTGAATGTTTACATCTCTGAAAACTGCATCACAGCAGGACGGGCTGCCGCAGTCCTCTCCTGAATACCCGCTGCCCTCTCACAGGCTCAGTGCTTGGTCGTTGGCCACAACCTACCCCAGGGTCAGAGTGACCTGCAGTGTCTCTCCAGAAGCTCTGTCCCTCTGGCTGCTCTTGCCCTCAGATTGGGGTCTGGGGAGTCACAGGCAGCGTTAGCCAGCCCAGGGGGCCGTGGTCCCTGGGTCGATGGGAATGTCCCTCAGCCAGGGACATGTGAGCATCAACCGTGACTGCGCAGTCCCTGTGCCCACACCAGCACCGTAGAGCAGGACAGGGGCAGGGGATGAGCTGTCGGGGACGAGCCCTGGCAGCTCCATTCTCTGATAGCTCCACCTTGCCTACTCCTCTCCCCTCCAGTGAAAGAGGCAGGTTGGCGGGTCAGTATGTATTCCACGCACACGTGTCCTTGGTGCTCGACCTGGTTTGGGTACATAGAAGTGCTCAGTGTAAGTTTGAGGCACCTGACAGGATTGGGCAAGTTTGGGTGATGTTTCTATCTCAGCCAGCAATACAGAAAAAAATTCAGCAAAGGGCACCACAACTCTCCACAGAAAAAGTATAATACCAAAGACTTGACGTGATTTCACAAATAACCATTAACTTTTCCTCTGGTCCTGTGGAAAAAATAAGAATCTTGAAGTTACTTCATGTGTTAACATATTTTAGTCTATTTGGGGGTATTAATTATTTGTTTTATTCTTTTACATCAGCGAAACATTTCATGATTTCTTTTCTGGCATTTAGACCTTGACGCTGGGCGACATTGTCTTCAAAAGAATCAGCAAGAGAGTGTAGACAAGTCTGCATTTCCTATTCTTTACTGTGTAAAACTAATGTAATAAAGTGACATTTATTTTAAGAAAATATGTTTCATGTGATGACTTCTCATTGGGGATGTTGTTTGTATCCTGAGCACTGATCGTTTGCTTTCTGATCAGCTTTTGCAAGCACACCTTGTGTTCAGTCAGCTGAGGTTCTATTTTTATTCTTGCCCCGATGCAGAATGTAAGCTGCCTGTCCATAACAGAAAAGCCGTGTGTGCCTGGAGCTGGAGGGTGCCCTGGCATGGCCTTCTCAGGCGGCCAAACGACACAGACCTGAGCAACAGGGTGTGGGCTGGGCTGGCCTTGGGATGGCTCCACACAGACAAAGACCAGGAGCCCTGGGCAGGCAAGGGAGAACTGGACCCATGAGCAGAGCCACCACTGTACAGGCACAAGGGGCCAGGCATGGACCTACCAAGCGAACAACTTGTCTTATGGGAGAGCTGAGTGAGGGATTTTGCAAGAGACCTAGAACTAGACAGAGCATGTTGGGTGGAATTTTCCTCCATCCCACAGGAAAAGACAGTGTAGAAAGGGAGAAAGTGCCTGAACATTGCTGGGGTATTTTTTCTGGTCTTTTTGGGACAGGGTCTCTCTATGCGGTTCAAGCTGGCCTTGAACTCACTATATAGCCCAGGCTGGTCTGAAACTCATAGCAATCTTCCTGAGCCCTGGGATCACAGGCGTGCACCAGCACACCCACCTGCACACTACTTTTAATAGGCAACTCAAAATGTGCAGTTTGTTTATTTTTACAGTAATCAGGAATGAGAGATGTAAGGCGAGATGCCCAAGTAAAAATCAAGTAGTAGACAAAATATTGATAACAGCCAAGCCTTGTACAAATATATTCAATGGCTCCACTTTTGGGGGTAGAGATGTAAACTGGTGAAGTTCATATGTCTGGAACGCTATTTTATGGTCTCTCTTAATATTTTCAATGTGAAGGTCCTAACCCCTAGCAGCACCACCACAGAAGTGTTCATGCACAAACACAAAGAAAAACATAAGTGTTATGCCTGGAATTGAAAGCAGATCTTTACTGGTAATATTTTGTTATAACCATGCTCTGTCATAATCTACAATGAATTAAATGAGTAAAGTAAGTAGATATAAATATGCGGACATAGATAAATATCTATGGATGTATAGACCTATTTATCTCTTAGATAGACCATAGTATTTAAAAAAGCAAGTTTCAAAACAATATCAACATTATTCCTTTCATGTAAATTTTGATGCAGCACACGGTTATCTACTTTTGTGCATGAATATGCACATATTTCAAAAATAGCTCTTATCTCTAAGGTAGGAACAGAATTCAGAGATCAAGAGCTATTTGCATGATTTATATTATTTGATTTTTTAAAGGAGCTAATTTTATAGATAATTTTTATGAGAAATTTATTTTTTTTCTACAGTTTTATTGATAAACATATAGCAATGAGACAGTTTCAAATCAAATCGGAAGTACAGTTTCAACAAATAATACACTGCATAT